TGGTTAGTAGTACAATTTTTTTAATTTAGTTCAAGTATTTGCAATTTTAGATTTTAGTTGAAATTGGTTCCTTGGTTGTTTCCTTCATTTAAACAATTTCAGTGAAAGATGTCCTTTTCTATGAGAATATTTGCCTATATCGTTTATGTATATATGTTTTTGTATTAATATTTTTTATACTACGTTTTAATAAGTAATATGTGTACAAACCAACTTGCCTTTGTAAGATTAACAAAAAAAGAGAAAAGAAATGAACATGTTCTGTGCTCAATAAGTGTTTGTTACTGTAAAGAGCTGATCCAGTAATGTTTATGTTTGCTGAGTCTTCCAAAATTATTTAAAAATCGTCTCATTGCAATAACAAACTCATTTACAAGATACATGTCGTATTTAATAAATTAAATGTATGATAAAAAGTGCATTATGTGTGATTTAATTCAAAATATATATGTGCAGGGTGTTATTTTTATAAGCAACAATATTTTTGATCGAAAAATACGTTTTACAGTCAAAAATCTTAGCTAACAAAAAATGACTAATTAGGAAAATTATCACAAACTACAGACACTTTTTTATCTTCTCTTTTATAGAACAACTTGAACATTTCGTCTATGTATATACATATATATATATATATAAGGTGTTTACACACATTTTTAAATTAAACCATACTACTACTAAGTTTTTTGACTGTATTATGTTTCATTGCAAATAGTAATTGTCAGGCAAGTCTAATGTAATTTGTCCGTTTTGAATTTGAAAAATGTCAATTAGTCATTAAATATTTTTTCCAATTATGTAAAAATTTTGTAAATTTATCGAAGTTCTTAGGATTTCGCGTCCTATATAGATTGGTAGCAAACTTCTCTCTGAGATATTTTCCTGTGGTCCAAGAAGAGAAAAATTCAATGGACCACACAAGAATAGCCTGAAGAGAAGTTTAAAACGAATTGTAATTTATTTTTTAAAGGCTTGCCTTAAACGTAACTACCTATAAAGAAGTTGTTATATGTGTACTTATTAAAAGCATAATTGTTGCAAATGAAAAGTAAATACTCTTCAAAAATTATATATAAATAACGATATAATGAATACTGTATTGTTTTAATGCACGATTGCGGCAAATATAGCGTACAATTTTAAGACTGTGTTTTATATATATACATTCGTATCCGTAGTTTTGCTATACATTTCGATGTAGTTTTAATGGTATATTTATACTTATCAAATAAATAATTAATAAATGTGCCAAAAACGTTGTTTTCGTTTGTGTTGGAATTTGAAAATGTTGACCACGAAATGCGTCTAAAAAACTTCATTGTTTTGAAAATATACCGGGAAAAAAATAAACTGTGAAAACATTAAACTTCTTTAACATTGAGAACCGCTTACGTTACGTTAATGATAAAAAAATATTTTAACATCTATCGATAATTGTATTGATATTGTCATTTGCATTATAGATATTGTATATTTTGTAATAAAAGATTGTATTTTTATAGTCACTCCTTTTTACTCATCCTATATGTGGAACTTTCTATCACCCTGTACATATAGAAGTAGATATTTATAGTTTTTTGCGGTTGGCTGCATTTTATTACCCATTCAAAACAAACATATATCGGCGTTGTCGAGTTTGACATTTAACAAAAAAGGGCAAAAAAGATGGAATTAAATTTACAAAAACTAACTTATCAAAATAAATTAAAGCTATTAATTTATAAAACTTAGTCGCTTTCCATACAATTAAAGCAACAGTTAATTTATTAGTGATGATAGTGTTTAACGGTTTGTTTTACTGCGGTCGTAACAATGAAAATTCTTTATTTATTAAATTCTATCGGTTTGTTATTAATAAATATAATAAACCCTTTGTTAAGTGTAAATACTTGCCCTGAAAAGTGCTTATGTAGAGAGGTGCCCCAAAAGGATAAGTTAGTTTGGACGAAACTTCGCTGTGGTGATACAGAAAAAATTAAGCATTTAGATGAATTAGACCTACTAAACATTGCAAATGAAATTTTATACTTGTAAGTCTTTTTACCATTAGTAGTATATTAAGTACTAAACAACCTTTTTTGTAGAAACTTGTCAGACAATTACTTAACCAATTTCAGTCCCAAAATACAATTTCTTGCCCTGCAAAGACTGTAAGTATACTATATATTATTTTTTATCGTTATTACTTATAAAAACTTATTTAATCACAGAGATCTTAGTAAAAATAAAATAGAAGCTTTACAAAACAAACAGTTTGAAGAGGTACCAAACCTTCGAAGATTGGATATTTCTAACAACCTCATTAAGTTAGTTGAGCCACAAGCTTTTGCTGGACTAAAGTATTTGGAAAGATTAAAATTAAACCAGAATCTCATATCCACCATTCAAAAGGGAACTTTTAAAACACTCACATTTCTAAAGCAACTGTGTGTACTTTATTTACATTCTGTCTAAAAAGTTTTTCAATAAATTATTGTTTTAGTGATATCTCGAACAATCCTTTAACATGTGATTGTGAATTACTGTGGTTGCTAGAATGGACCCAACAGCAATCTGTTAAAATTGCTTCTAATCCAAAGTGCAGTTCCCCTGCTACATTTAAAGGTGTTCCTTTGAGGAAATTAAAAATTGGTACTGATATACATTGTAAATCTCCTGCTGATGACAAGGAAATCCCAATGAT